GGGACGTGCAGGAGGCAGCTGATCCATGATTCTCTCTCATCATTGATGTTTCTCTCTCCCCCCACCCCTCTGAAATCAATAAAACAACAAAAAAGTGAACCCACCAAGGTTTTCCCTACCGTCTGAGAACAGCAATTAACCCCTTCCTTAGCCACAGAAAAATGGCCCAGTAATCCCAGCCCCGACATTTAACCTGGGTTTCCGCCCGCACCGGGTATTGTCCCTGGGAGCTTGTCCCCAAGAGGCTTCATTGACATAACCGCGTGTCAGGCCACGCCCAGCAGCCCATCATGAGATGGTTCTGGAAATCTTCAAACGGCCTTTGGTTTTGTTACAGAAAGCAAGTCTGTGGATTCAACATGAGGACATAACACTTTTTATAACCATAATGTTTGGTCCATAACAACAAAAAATTTTCCACCGTTTATAGCTGGCACATATAAAATGGAAAACGAAAAAATAAAAGTAAAAATAAAAAGGGGAAGGCGCTCAGAGTTAGGTTTGTCTTTATTTAATGGCAAAGCACACAATCCCTTCCGCACTTCCGACTCGTCCCACGAACCAGACTTGCACCACAGTCCCCAGGACGCGGTCTCCTCACCAGGTTTCCTGTCTGCAGCCTCCAGCGCGCCCGCCTGGTCAGGAGGAGAGGGGCCCGGGCCAGTCTGGACGTGGAGGGGAAGTAGTAATGTGGGAATAGAAAATGCTTGTCTATGCTTTTCTTTAAAATACATATACATACACATTACTTGAGCCAAGCCGAGCAGATATGCCGGGTTAAACGTCCATGCGCTGGGCACTCGGGTCTGGAAGCCTATGGTCTGTGAACTAGTGATGCTGAGCAGACTGCACCCCAGAAAACACCGCGACTTCCCTTCACTCATTTAGCTGGAATCCGGCAGGGGGTTACTTCTGGGAGTGACAAGGGGCACGACAGCCCAGGTTAATGCAGTAAGAAGTGGCATCGCTGTCATTTGAGAAACACTCCGTTCTATACACGCTTCCCGCCACCACTTAATATCAAAATGGCGAACTAGCATTGCCATTGGCTCAGTGGGTAGGGCTTCAGCCATCTGACTGAAGGGAATGGGTTCGACGCCCGGGGTGCAGGGATCCCCACATCACTGCTCCTAACTCCCCCCAAGAAACTCAGAGGGAAACATTCGCAGGTGAAACAAGTTACAAGCCTGTGACTACCTGAACCGCCGCAAAGACAAGGCACTGCAATGAAAAGTAAAGCCACAGCTCTTTCAAAGGAACGGATGGGTGGCCCTAAAAAGGGCCGTTGGTTTTGCTGAAGAAGCCAGTAGGTGGGTGGCTCAGCCGCCGAAGCCGTAGAGGGTGCGGCCCTGGCGCTTGAGCGCGTAGACCACGTCCATGGCCGTGACCGTCTTGCGCTTGGCGTGCTCCGTGTAGGTGACGGCGTCGCGGATCACGTTCTCCAGGAAGACCTTGAGCACCCCGCGCGTCTCCTCGTAGATGAGCCCGGAGATGCGCTTGACGCCGCCGCGCCGCGCCAGGCGCCGGATGGCGGGCTTGGTGATGCCCTGGATGTTGTCGCGCAGCACCTTGCGGTGGCGCTTGGCGCCGCCCTTGCCCAGGCCCTTCCCGCCTTTGCCGCGACCAGACATGGCTGCAGCTGCAGTGAAGGTTCGCGCTCCACGCAGCCCTTTAAATAGAATGTGTGCGGACCTGATTGAGAACCACAGGCGCCGCGTTGTTTTTTTCTAAATTAGGTCATCGCGGGGGCGGAGCGAGGGGAAGAGAGGAACATTTCAACGTTGTGATTGGCCAGTGAACCTGGGCTTATTCGGGCTGGAAGGGGAGGAGCAGATTTCCTTGAAAAGCTTTCGTTTATTTTCTGTCTGAATGTTTTTTTTCGTGCTAGTCGATAAATTGGGTCCATTTTCCTGTTGTATGACGCGGGAAAAGGTTCGCTCAATCTTTTTATTTCCACGAGAAACGCGTACACTATGTAATGGTTCCCTGGGGAATGTAGACATGGTAAGGATGGTGGATTTGTCGGTGAAGGGACTTTTCCTTTCAGTCCTTCTAATATTCCTGTTCTAAAAGACGTATTTTGACGGCTTTTTCTGTTTTGGAGAAAGTGTAAGCCTGGCCATCAAGAAGCTCTGGGCCCAAGGGTCCAGTGTTTGGAAAGATGGAAAGGCTGACAAAGAATTGAAAATTAAAACCTCTTCCTTTTCTTCAACATTTGAACATTTACTAGTTGACTCCTTTGTATGTAAAGCCTGAGTCGGGGAGCATAGCGCTAAACTCCAACAAGCAGTTGTCTGGACCCTGTTTCTGGCCCGCACAGTTTTGCCTGCAATTCCTAACCAGCTCCCTTTCCTCCTTTATTAATCCCTTTCAACCTTTTTAGAGACAAGAATAAATGTTTTGTAGAGTTGGGGATTAAGTGTTGGGGAGGGCTAATACGTGATTAAGGTCATCACAAAGCCCTCAGGGCCTTCCCCTGAGACACCTTTGATGAGGTTATTGGTATTGTAAACAAGGCTAAGCAATTTTTGAAATTTTCCACTGGAAGAGTCACTCCAGTTGAAAGGGAAAAAAGAGACACCTCTCCACATTCTGGTTAATAAATAAATGCCTATTTTGGAAACTTAGAATGAGACTGTTAATGTAAAAAACAAACAAACATGCAAACCTGTAAAGAATTTTTGTGAGTTTATTTGAGCCAAACTGTTGACAATGGCCGGGAAGCAGGACCTCAGTGTATTGGGACAGTGCTCAGGAGAATGGCGGTTTTGCACCTTGTTTTATACATTACAACCCAAGGAGCAGAGGTAAGTGGGTGACAGAAATCCACTGGAGATGGATTAGGGAGGGATTGGATAAAAATGAAATGATGGACTCATGCTTCCTCTGCACAGGTGGGTGGGTACAGGGTAGTTAAGGGTCAACAATTAACATGATAACAATAACAATGAGGGATTTGTGGTTCCAGTCCTAGCGCTATTCGTTATGCCCCCAGGGGTCCAGAAAAGGGAAGTTACAAGTTACTCTGACTTTTCACAGGTGTTATCTTAGATGCAAAAAGACAACAGGCTCAGTAAACATCGAAGATGATCTTTGTCGGGGAAGTTACTGGCCTGGGGCTTGACTACCCACCATAAACTTCTCTTTAACCAAAAGATTTTAATTTCAGACCATCCTTTGTGGTGACTTTAGGTCTTGAGTTTGCAAGGCTGTCACGCAGGCCTCCCCTGATTCAGGTTAGCATGTGGCCCCTCGTCCCCAAGACTGGCCTGAGAAGGACCACAATCATCAGACTCCCGTCAGGGGAGAGGGGAGGTGGGGGAGGGACAAAATGACCCGGGGACAGGGAGGAAGCTCTGCGTGACACATGCTTTCTGTATCGCTTTAGAGCTGCCCCAATGGTTACATTCTTCCTCCCCCAACTGAGAGTTGTTAGGGCCCCGACTTTCACTGCCCCCCCCCCCGCCCCCGCCTACACACACGGTGTAACCGCAGGAGCAGCTCAGAGGGTCTGCCCTGCGCTGGGGTTTCAGACACAACAGACCCAACCGCAAGGCCTGCCGCCGCGCATGCGCAGAGGAGAGAACTTTGACCACCCGCCGCACCGGAAACCCCGGACTCCAGACGGGCCGGGAACCTAAACCAGGAGCCCTTTCTGAAGCCGAGGGCCACCGTCCAGGCCTCTGACCATAAAGAGCCAAGTTCCAAGGTCCTCCCATTGAAACGTGCCCGCCAGGCTTCCGCATCCTGTTCCCCCTGAACCTTAAAAACCCTAATACAGAGGCCGGAGGTGAGGCCCATAAGGTCTCGGGCCTCCGAGGCTGGAGACTTGCAGATCAATAAACCTTTCCTACTCCACACCCTGGCCTTTTGAAATTTTGGCTCTTTCTCCCCCC